AAACAAAACAAAACAAAACAAAACAAAACAAAACAAAACAAAACAAAACAAAACAAAAATTCTGAGACACTGAGAAAGCTGAACCCATTCACTTTGGCAGGATAACTTTATGACCTTGATAAAAGCCATTGTGGAAGAGTGGTGAGGATAAAACAAAAACAAATATAAAAACAAAAACCTTGGTTGTATTGAGCCAAGCTGGAATGGCAGATGCACCCTTCAAAGGAGTTTGCAGTGAAGGGCTTAAGGAAACAAGGTGATAGCTAAAGGAGACATGAGTTAAAGGGAATTTTAGAAAAATCAGTAATATTAAAATGAGCTTATGTATAATTTAAAAACAAAAGTACTTTAAGAAATATTTTAGGGGCGTCTGGGTGGCTTGGTCGGTTAAGCGTCCGACTTCGGCTCAGGTCATGATCTCGCGGTCCGTGAGTTCGAGCCCCGCGTCGGGCTCTGTGCTGACAGCTCAGAGCCTGGAGCCTGTTTCAGATTCTGTGTCTCCCTCTCTCTCTGCCCCTCCCCTGTTCATGCTCTGTCTCTCTCTGTCTCAAAAATAAATAAATGTTAAAAAAAATTAAAAAAAAAATATTTTAGTGATTATCACCATAAATCGGTACCGGTTACTTCATGCTACATAACCAATTACTCCAACTGGTGTAAAACAAGCATTTATTATGCGCCAATATTTTGTGGGTTGGTTTTGGATTGGTCTATACTCTACAACAGGGATTGGCAAACATTTTCTGTGAAAGGCCAAATAGCAAATATTCTAAGCTTTGCAAGCCCAGCGGTTACCGTCACAACTATGCAACCTAGTCATTACAACAGGAAAATAGCCACAGACAGTACATGAAATAAAGAAAGTGATTGTTCCATCAAGACTTTCCTTACAGAAATAGGTAGGTAGTGGGCTGGATTCGGCCCGCAAGTCCTAGTTTGCTGACTGCTGGCCCAGAATGTCTGAGGCCTCATCTGGAAGATGAAGATTCAATTCGGGGGGGGGGGGGGGGCGCGGACTTGACAGCTGGCCTGGAATGCTGCAGCTCCTCAAGCGTCTCTTTCTGCCTTGGTGTGATCTATGTGATCACTCAAGCATGGCGGCCTTGAGTTAGTTACACTTTTATTTATTTATTTAAACAATTTTTGTAATGTTTATTTATTTTTGAGAAAGAGAGAGAGACCCAGGGCGAGAGGGGGAGCGGCAGAGAGAGAGGGGGACAGAGAATCTGAAGCAGACTCCAGGCTCTGAGCTGTCAGCACAGAGCCCAAAGCAGGGCTCGAACTCACAAGCTGTGAGATCAGGACCTGAGCTGAAGTTGGACAGTTAACTGACTGAGCCACCCAAGTGCCCTGCATTCGTTACACCTTTAAAATGAAGGCTCAGGGCTTCCTGTCCCAGGAAAAACTGGGAGAATCTTCCTGGCTGTTTTGAACCTAGGCTCAGAACTCATGCAGTGTCACTTCTGCCATGTGCTATTTGTTGATGTAGTGACAAAGGTCCACCCAGGTATAAGGAGAGGGAAAGGAAGGAAATGTTTGCCTCTTCCTGGGAGGAGAAAGAATTTATAGGCATGTTTAAAACCTCCATACTTTCTGAGGAATAAAGAAAAGGTCAAGATCCTTTTTTTTGTTTGTTTTTCTAGAAGGAAAATTTGAAATTTCATAATGGCTCAGGTGATTTCAAAATACTGGTTGAAAATGGAGAATTGTGATCATACTGTAATTTTTTTAAATTTTCTTTGGAATAGTACTTAGAAAAGTCTCCTTGCATAATTCAGCTATGATGGTGCTTAATTGCAAGCAGACTTGGGCTGTTTTACTAAAAAGAGGACACATATAATTGGCCTTATCTTTTGAATGTGTAGACTTAAAATCAGTTGATATTTTGTGGATTTGGTTGGGCCACTAAACATAAAAATGGATATTTTACTGTTAGAAATTGTAAATAAGTTTATTTGGGCATCTGTAATAGGCCTAATAATGGCCCCAAAGATGTCAGTGTCCTGGAATCTGCAAATGATACTTTCTATGGCCAAAGGAACTTTGCAGATGCAATTTAGGATATTGAGATAGAGAAATTATCTTGGATTATTCAGATGGGCCTAAAGCATAATCACAAGTGTCCTTACATGAAAGAGGCAGAGGGAGATTTGACTAGAAGAAGGTGTAGGAGATGTGATGATGGAAGCAGGAAGTTGGAGGAATGCAAGGAAGAAGCCACAAGCCAAGGGCTGCAAGTAACCCCTCAAAGAGGGAAAAGCCAAGGGAAGGGATTTTCCCTGAGAGCCTCTGGAAGGAAACTGCCCTGCCTACACCCTGATTTTTAAAAAAAAAATTTTTTTTCAACGTTTATTTATTTTTGGGACAGAGAGAGACAGAGCATGAATGGGGGAGGGGCAGAGAGAGAGGGAGACACAGAATTGGAAACAGGCTCCAGGCTCTGAGCCATCAGCCCAGAGCCTGACGCGGGGCTCGAACTCCCGGACCGCGAGATTGTGACCTGGCTGAAGTCGGACGCTTAACCGACTGCGCCACCCAGGCGCCCCACCTACACCCTGATTTTAACCTAGTGAAACTGACTTCAGACTTCTGGCCTCTAGAACTGTAAGAGAATAAATTTGTGTTATTTTAAGGCACTGAGTTGCTGGTAATATATTTTGGCAGCCTTAGGAAATGAATGCCACTTTCTACAGAAGTTCATGAAACATTTGGCTGACACAGTTAATTGCACATGACATAAGTTATAGCGAGTTAGGAGTTTTCTGTAAGTCTGTGAGGGTTAAAATAAAACTGTAAATGGAGTGCTTGCTTATAGCAGTTGCTCCAAAAAATGTAAGTTAAACAAGATATATGTTAAATAAATGATTAGAAAATAGGGAACAAAAAAAAGAAAAAAGAAAAGAAAAAGAAAAAGGGGACATGACATGGTGTGGCGTGGTGAAACCAGACAGTGAAACTTGTAAAAGCCATAAGAAAGAAAAGGCACAATGAAACAGGGTTGAAATTGAAAAGGCCCAAGGGAACAGAGGATGGAATTTCTACAGGGAGACTAAAGTACAAATCTCAGGGGCCCTTGGAGGCAGGATGAAGTTGTCATACCCCAACACTCCAGCCAAGCCCCCACTGTGGGGCAGAAGGATAAGGTGGAGCATTTATTCATTCCATCCTAATGGCTCACCGTGTCCCAAGCATGGACTTTGTTTCATTCCCCAGGGGACAAAACGAGGCAGGGTTGACTCAAATACACAGGGAGGTCACAAGTCTTTTTGAGTATCCTCACTAATTGAAAATTGTTTCAGTTCTTTTTAAATGGCAAAATATTAAATGCCAAACTTCTAACTTTAATGACTTAGGGATACTTTTACATGATAGCTAATACAAAGCTAAAGATTAAAGGGGAAAACACATTCGGGTTCATAATACTCAGGCACTTCACCGCATCTTTGTTTACATCTACGTCACCTGTCTCCTAGAAGCAGCAAAACAGAAGGCCCAACAGCATGGATTCTGGAGTAGGAATGCCTGGGTTTGAATCCCAGATTTGCCATTAATTAGATTGGTGACTTTGGACAACTATCACTCAACTCCCTTATCTGCAAAACAGAGAAAATAATAATATCTATCACAACTTCTCATAAGAATTGAAAGGGTTAATAAATGTAAAACATGAGCAGTATCAGCGCATAGTAAGGGCTACATATTTGTTGAATAATGGTATTAAAAACTTCATGAGTGGAGTTCACAAGAAAGCACATTCATTTGCACTCTGTAAATTGACAAATTTTTCCAAAGGTTAGCCATTTTCCTGCTTGATATTTTCCATGCTTTCTTTCTAAGAGTCCCCATGATGAATTTCCACTTACCATTCAACAAATGCCCACAGAGCTCAGGCCTGTGAAAGCCAGTGAACCCGTATGTTGCAAACGAGTGTCAGTAATGGCGACAGTTAGGGTTTCACAATCTGTGAGAAGAAAGCTCACAAATGCAATCGGAAATGAGGCACTTCTTATGCCACTTCTAAATCACTTCAAACTCTTTCAGACTGTAATAAAGTGCTGGGGGTGTCAATCATAGTTTTTGCCTCAAGGTGGAGAAGTAAAAATCTTACTGGCTTTGTCAGTCTGGCAGAACTGCATTCAAATCCTGACCCAGTCCTTACTAACTACATAATAGGCAGCTTAGTTAAACTTTCTTAATCTAAAAGGGGCACTTTGGCTGAGTTCTAAAATATACATATATATGCAACCCAGTAATTCAGCAAATGATAACTATCCTTGGCTAAGTTATGATAACTTATCCTTGGCTAAGCGGCAATAGACTGTATATAGTTTGGGTGTTCAGAAGTTGGAATATCTAGGAATCAGGTAACACATTTGTACATATGTATTTTTCAGTGAGGAAACGAAAGGAGTGCTACTTCAAGCCTGTCTTTTGGAAGCTTTTATTGGCCAAAGTTTTCTGTCTTTAGTTTTGTTTAGCCTTTTAGAAGTTTATAGCATTCAGGCATTTCCTTTGGCAAATCTGGCACAGGCTAAAGAGAAAGGACATAAATATTTTTCAGTCTCTCTAGTGAAAGTGGATGTGCAACATATGTGGCTAGTCAGATACCACTTTCCAGTAACAAGGTCCCAGGCACCGGTTTCAGAAGACTTTATTCCCTGCTTCCCCCATGACTAACCCCAGAGGAGGAACTGACTCTGCAAATAGCTGGAATCATAGTTATTCTCTTCATTTCCTATATGACCCTCCAAGCCCCCACCCCCATGCACACGCACACACACAAATAATCCCACAGCCACATCAGTGTCAGGGTCCTGGATTTATTTTGTTCTCAAGGAAACTGATGCCTGAGAGAAAGAGTTTTTTGTCTTTCAAAATTTGGCTGCTTCTTCCTAAATGAGACCGCTTTTTAGAAAGATTTTCATGGTATCAGGTTAGTTATCTAAAAATACTGTGATTTCACTCTAGATATAAAAGAAATGGGAAAAGGGCTAAATTAAGATGACGTACTATTGAACATCTCATTTTTATTACTTTATTTATTCCGTGATAAGAACTGTCTGTAAGCTGGTGGTATAAATCACTGTAGGACAAGCATTATTACCCGTATTTTACAAATAAAACAGAAAAGACCCAGAGAGGTTAAAGGATTTGTCTGTGGTCACAAAGCTTTTTAGTAGCCAACCCAAAATAAGAACCGAGGACTTGGGATTGCAAGTTCTGTACTGTTTTTCTTTGCCGTGTGCTCTTGGTAATTAACATGATCAAAATCTACTTAGAGGTTAGTGGGTACAACAAAATAAATAATTGTTCCTTTTGTTTGGTGAGTTTGTTTTGACCTAGATATTAAATTTCCTCAAGTCCCACTATCTTTAGTTATGTCTATTCTAACTTTTTGTTTTTGTTTTTGACAATATTTATGGCTTTTAGACTGTTGATTTGTATTTAGGAAGATAGCTTTGGTAACTACCAAACAGGAAGTCATCCAGGTCAGTCTGGGCCATTTGTGGAAGCAAGGCTAGCTAATGACTTCAGATATGCAAAGAATAAAGGGAGACCAAATGATTTGGTTTACTCTTTGGTTTTTCCCACTCTTTTTAGACCCAATATAGATCCCATCTGTAAAGGTCAGAGATACATCCTGCCTGCCTCTTTGAGCCTGTTTCTTTCCAACAGCATAGTCTCCTCACCATAATTCACTCTTCTTCATTCTTGTCTTGTTCTATTGAATAAGGGATATTTCCTTTAGTCTTGTTCTAATATCTCAAGATCAAAACTGATATAAACTGGCGAATGACCTGAGTCCAAAGTTCTGGTGAGTCATTCCCTAGGACTAAAGAAAGGATAACATAGATATAGCTGTTAATCTCCTTTACAGTCCAGGTAAGAGGCTACTGACACCTCAGAATGGTAGGTAAATAGGAAAGCAAATGAGGAATCTTGAAGAATTCTAAATTCCCAAAGCAATGTTACTGTATTCTTCTATCTCTTCCCTTAAGTCTGTCCCGGGGGGAAAATGTATCCTTGTCAGCATTACAACATTACAATAAAAATTACGGTAATTTCCATCCCATGAAAGAAAGACTTGGGAGACAGAACATTGCCATACTATCTGGGGAGACTTTGTTTAGTAGTTGGTTGTTTATTGTTTTGCTTGGAAGTCTTTGATGGGTGGTAAGGGGGTGAATGAATGAATGGCAACCTCATAAATTATCCTGTCATTGTAACTGATTATGATAAACCTTCTCAAGGGGTCTGAATTCCCCAGGGAACTTTGCCCAGGATTTCTCAATTTTTTTGTGATACCATTGAAAAATGGTGACTTGGATAAAAGAACTCAAGAGCTACACGCAACTCTGTATGCTCTTCTGGATGCAGCTGTATTCTTATTTTGCTAAACGTGGTTGATATTTAAGAACCCCCAGCCCCATGACAAGGGTTTTGAATTTGTTTTCACTATTTGTACCTCATGATATGGTATGGAGATTGGGGAAATAATCCTTTAATAATGAGCCAGAGCTGGACTGATAGAAACATACTCTAGACCCTGATTGGTGAAGCCAGAGAGAGATGTCATTTCCTAAGAAACAGATAATAAGAGAAATTTAGAAAGCAGTTGCAGAATGAAGAGCAGAGAAGTGATGATGATTATTCAGAAAAAAGAGGGACATTGGGACTAGAGACATAGAGGAAGACCTGGATAGTGATTATAGACATCTACTAATAAGGAAAGAGGGTCCAGTGGCTAAAAAGGAAGAAATAGTTTGGATTTCATCTGTTTGTACCTACAGACTAATTAGCAAGGACCCAACTGTCCCAGGGACCAGACTTAAAAGAAGTAAAGTTGGCGTGGTAGAAAAGAAATCTGAGTTATTAAAGTATATCCAGCTAAATTATGCACCTAAGCTATTTGTAACTCATTTACTTGAGTATATATTTTATAGATAACATATTCATATGTAGTAAAAAAAGATCTTGCACTATAAACTGTAGTTGTGATTTGAATGACTTGCCTGAGCAGGATGTGGAAGAGGATCCTGTGTCTCTTGATGGCAGCCCCCAGGTCAGTCTAAAAAGAAATAAAATGTCTTGAATTTTGGTTTGCATTAATAGAAGGGATTCAAAGTAAACACAGGGTCTCCTCTCTGAGGGGAGTATTGTTAATTTATTATTAATTTAGTATCAATGCCTTCTTCTAAAGATGCTATAAATTGAGGACCCTCTAATGTTTTTTTTAACCCATGGGTATTAAAGAGTAAACTGTTACAAATCAAACTCAGTCCTACTCTTGATAACGTTGTGGTTATAAGACTAATTTTTGCATAGAGAGTGGTATAAAACTCACATTTTCTTCCTCACAAGTTGGATTGATTCTTTAAAACGATAGCAAGAAAAATCATGAAAAGTAGCCCAAATACTCATTCCTTTATCTAATGTCTCATTGCTTAGCAATTTTCTTCACTGTCATTTTTCAGTGGGAAAATACCTAAAATTTATCTACTGAAATTCAACTGAACAGAGTAATTTAAAACAAATCAATAGGCATACTAATAATAAGGTAAACATTCAAATGCAATACAGCATTTGTTTCTAATTACCACTTCATCAAGTCCCAGTTACAAATTAAGTCTCTTTATTTCAATTAACAATTTAATGGTGCTTTAGAGAGATAAAGAATGTTTTAAAAAGAAACCAAACCTCTGATAAAGCACACCCAATTTTCTCCCAAAAGAAAACATGGCAAAAGCATCAAGCTATGAGAAAAAGCCTGGGATAGATGATTTGTGGAATGTACTGTCCACCACAGCTAGGAGATGTAGATAATGTTCATTTTGTGTGTTTTATGTTTATTTATTTTTGAGAGAGAGGGAGAGACAGAGCATGAGCAGGGGAGGAGAAGAGAGAGAGAGGGAGACACAGAATCTGAAACAGGCTCCAGGCTCTGAGCTGTCAGCACAGAGCCCAACGCGGGGCTCGAACTCACGAACTATGAGATCATGACCTGAGCCGAAGTCAGACGCTCAGCCAACTGAGCCACCCAGGCGCACTCATTTTGTTTGTTTTATTTGCCAGGACCTTCTCTCCTATTCTGTACACGTCTCTTCTGATATCCTATATGGGGGAAAGGCCAGCTAACTAGGTACGCATCTACCTAACAAATATTATTGAGCACCTGTCTTGTGCCAGGCACTTAAGTGCCAGGTCATGAGGATTCAGTGATGAACAAGACCTAGTTCCTTCTCTTAGGAACTTCTCTTGTTTAATGGTAGAGACAGATATAATAGTCATAGTGTAATGTGTCTAAGACAGTAACTGAATAAGAAGAACTATAATGAAGATTGATAAATTCATTTAAAGTGTTATATCATTTCATCCAGAGGTTTTTAAATGGACAGAGGAATATTTCTTCTCTCTCTCCCTCTCTCTCTCTCTCTCTCTTTCACACACACACACACACACACACACACACACACACACTGCTGCTATGGGTGAAATTCCAGGTGTATGTAGTAAAGTTGGTGATAAGTTGGTGATATATTGATACTCATGTAGGGACCCACAAACTCTCTATAACAGTGAGCTTATTACAAATGTTAATTCCAATTCTTGGCTGGATAAAGCCATAGAATGTTAGAGCTTCAAGGAATTACTGAGTATATTTAATTGACTCATTTTATGGAGAGGAAACTGAGACCTAGAAGAACTAAGTCATTTGCTCAAGAAGACAAAGATAATCATTGGAAGTCAACATTAGAGATCAGCTCTCCTAATCCTTAGTACAACATGTTGGAGATACTTTGTTTTTACTCACAATGCTGGCATTTGCTTGTCATTATCTAACTTGACCTTTCTACAAACTCAGTATCCATAACTCTTACTCTGTCTGCTATGATGATGATGAAACCTTCCATGTCAGTAGCCACATCTGCTAAATGAAGTTATTACTTTTCATTAAAAACTTTTTTAACATTTATTTATTTTTGAGAGAGAGAGAGAGAGAGAGAGAGAGAGCAAGCAAACACGGGGTCATGGAGCAAGGGCAGAGAGAGAGGGAGAGAAAGAGAATCCCAAGCAGGCTCCACATTGTTAGCTCAATACGGGGTTCAAACTCATGAACTGTGTATCATGACCTGAACTGAAGTCAGATGCTTAACTGACCTAGCCATAGAATGTTAGAGCCACCCAGTTGCCCTGGTACTTTGCATTTTTAAAATAAGATTTAGAAGGAACAGAGAAACTCAAGATAGAAAGCCATTCTGAAAATTCTTAAGTAATGTCTTGTAGCTTTTTTTGAAGGATATCATCCACCTAAAATAAATGTCTGCTGGGCTTGTATTGGTTAATACATATTTTTTCTGATTCATGGATAGTGTATTAGTTTCCTGTGATCACTATAGCAAATTATCACAAACTTGGTGGCTTAAAACAATAGAGATTTATTCTCTCATAGTTCTAGAGGCCACAAATTTGAAGTCAGTATTGCCGGGCTACAATCAAAATACTGGCAGTGCCCACCACTGACTATCGGGGAGAATAGAGTACTTGACACTTCCAGCTTTTGGTAACTTTTACTATTCCTTGGCTTGTGGCTAAATCACTCCAGTCTCTTTCTCTGCGTAATACTGCTTTCTCCTCTTCTCTGTCTCCCTCTTGTTAGGACATATGTGAATGCCCTTAGGACCCACCTAGGTAATGCAGGATTATCTCCCCATTTCAAGATCTTCTGCTTAACCACATCTTCAAAGCCCTTGTTTGCCAATAAGATAACATTCACAGGTTCCAGGTTTTAGGATGTGGGTGTTGGTGAGGGGCCGTTATTCAGCCCAGCACAGGTAGGGAACTGGATATCCATTCTTCAGTCAGAGACCATGACACAGAATTTCTTCTTGCTTTTGTTCCATTAATTTTGCACATAATTACTTTACTTGGATCTTTTGGGGAATTTTTCCTAGATTTTTTTTTTTGCTACATCTCTCAAAAATACCTTACAATTTTTCTCATGGCCTGTCATTTATGATTTTTTTTTTTCCTAAGCATTTGGCCATCTATCTTGGTCAGTGCTCTGAAGTAAACAAAATCACTTTGGAACTGAATAAAAAATCAGGAAGAAGAATCAAGAGATCTTTGTTTTACATGTTAAAACTTCGTTGTTATTTGTGTCTATTTTTAGAGTCAGAGGTAATCTGACCATGACTGCTGTATTCAAGGAATCAGTGTTCTTACTCACAACCACACAGGCAGATAAGATGGCTGGGTGCTTTCATAATCACCATTGATTCACTGTCAGATGGATCCATTCTCTATGACAACTTTTCAATATTACAGACTTTACCAACTAAAAAAGGCATCCCCTCATCCTGTGTACAGAAAAAAACATTGGTGAATAGAGATGACAGCCAGAAGCCTGTGGTCAGAAAATAAATATAAACGTGTCCTTTCATGCTGTGTAAGAACTCCTGGGCTAGAGGTGGACTCTTCAGTGTGTCTTATCTGGTTTTCTGATTCCAGTTGATATCTAGGCATACAATGCAGCTTTATGGTGGGCCCAGAGGGCACCACAAATTGTTATGCATGAAGTATGGAGTTCAGCAGACAGGCCATTCAGGAATAAGACTTAGTATTGGTCAAGGACATTGGATTGAGCCACTGTGAGATGAGAGATGAGACTACTTCTGAGACGGGTTTCCTAAGCAGAGTGACTGGGTTCCATCCTCACAGGCGACTTCTGGCCCAGGTCGGAACAGAGCTTCCTGGTGGTGGCAGCTGCAGAGAGGAGTTAGTGGGAAGGACTGAGAACCAGACCTTTATTGACTGCATTAATCCCTATGGCTGTATTTG